ATCTTTTGTCTCGTCAAGTTTTGTTCCTTCAAGACAACGCTAGGCCTCATGTGGCTCATGTGACTAGAGACTTGTTCGCCTCATTCAAATGGGACCTTTTTCCTCATCCATCGTACTCACCGAACCTTGCTCCATGCGATTTTCATCTTTTTCCTGCGTTAAAGAAGAGCTTGGGTAGCCGAAAGTTCTCCACCGACGCAGGGTTGCAAGAAGCTGTAAAGAAAATGGTTTCAACGACAGGATATGCGCAATTTTTTGAAGATTGAATCCACAAACTGCTAACATATAATCAGAAGTGTGTTCAACTGGGTGGAGATCATGTCGAAAAGCAAGGTAAGACAATTCAAAGCCTGAAAGTTTCACATATTTATCCAATTAATGGTGTTACAACCTTTTTTAAAGTGAAAACGTGCGTACTCACTCGTCTGAGGAACTCCGCCGCGTTCGAATATTTTGGACACGCGGTGACGAGAGATGGGCGCGGGAAAAATGACGTCACTCGCGAACGGGTGGACCAAATTTAAAAAACGAAGGCTTTTTGAAAAGCTGAGAGTATGACGGTTAAAACACTTTTTACCGTTTTAATTTATCTTCATTAGTTCCGGAGAAAATCATTAATATAAACTTCGAAGGATTCTGCTTTTTTCTATTTCACTCGAGGGGAAGTGTCCCCTCCCGGACTCTCTTCCCCACCCGGTGACTGACGCTGCGCTGTGCTGAACGGNTAAAGATATATACTTACTTTACGAACGCCCCTCGTATTCATGTGTTTTCATAATTTTTGGCTCACAACCGGTGTTAAAATTTTGGAGAAAATGATGATATCTCGTATTTGGCTTTTATTTCTCTTGTAATTTGATTTACTAGAAGTTAGAGCACTACCTCTCGCAAAAGACGCGGAAGTCTCTGTTTTCACTTACAATCAGACCTCTGCAAGGCCGGATTAGCCGGAGTGCTATCCCGGGGACCCCTGGGCTTTTCTAAAATTGTACATCCTCTAGGGGTCTTTAAAGTCTAAAGTATGGATTTAAAGAAGCCCTAACTCTGGAGTTTTCGGTTACTAACTCGTAAGTTTTAGGAGCTGGGCCCTTAATTACCAGCCCCCGAGCCTGAAGCGCTAATCCGACCATGGCCAATATTTCAAGTCAGACGTTGGATATTAGTATTTACAAAGGGAACACCCCAAGTTGTCGCCGCGATTGGGCTGAAAAAATTCGTACGAACTCTTTGGATAACTCCATTAGACCCGTGTTTTTTTCCAATGCGTTCTGGAAACACTCTAAAAGCAAGCAGTGAACTCCAACACAATGTGTTTATAAGGCGCGTCATTAACTCGCACATATCAACCCCTTTAGTTTTCATTTACAGAGATTTTAAAATAGGCAAGCAGCACAACAAGAGAATTCACGATCCCGCACTGCAAGGTCAACGAAGCACCTTGACGAGACCGTGTATTGTGAATCTAGAAAGCTATTCGAACGAGTTTAAGTTTTTTGATCTGCCTCAAACAAAATCTTATCAGATTCTTGAAGAAAAGTGCTACGGAATAATTTAAGCCATGAAAGGGAAAATTCTGTCGAACTCCTAGAAGATAAAGTCGATTTAAAGGTATTTTGGGGTCCCAAATCATCGGTAATGTAAATCCCATTATATTATTGAAAAGAAATTGACCCGATTTAAATGCAATTGCATTAAATATGTCTTGATTCTGTTATTTTAAACGTATTTACATGCAAAGAAGTTCAACCATGTCCATGCTTTATTCATTCATGAATTGAAAGTAAGCAATCTACATCCCGAAAATCTACCGATTTGCCGTAAATAATTGCAGAAACTTGATGTACCAGGTCGATGTACCCACTCGTTGAATTTACGAATCAAATTTGTGAGTGCACATGTGTAAAAGTCAATATGCTATAGTCATTTTGGGTGCATTTATTTTTCATGAAGCAATAATATATAAGTAATTTCAATCCCGAAAAATTCTGAGGTCAATTATATTTAATTGTAATTCATATATTCCTTTCTTTCCCCTTCATTTTATTTTTTGTATGGAGAAATCTAGGTTTCGTTGATTTCTTCGGATTTCGAATACTGTAACTTTTCTTCTATTCGGCCGATTTTAATGAATGAGGCCTCTTTTTATTCGTGTTTTAACGGAGAGTAAGGAAATAATTGCTAAATACGCGCGAAACAAATTTTTTTTTTGAAAATTGGATGAATCCTAGCGTGACGGTGAAATGGTGAATCAAGCGTAAGTAATTGGGCGAGGGGCTGAGGATCTCGGCCGCCTGGCGACCCTCATCAGCTATTGTTCGTCGGGACGCCGACGCAGTGATCAGGAGCCTGGGGAAGAGAGGGGAAAGTGGATTCCTGTATGAGCCACGTTTAGCAAATGGTCCAATGAATCTCGAGGCTCATCACAACTTGCACTTATGGCTGCCCTGGCTATCAGAGCAGTGGTACCAAATTTTGAAAAGCATAACAGGGGTGTGGAGATCTGTCAAAGCAACGTTTTGAACAAAACGGAGAAGTGCAATTCTCGTTTAAAGAGTGCCGAACTGCTCAGCCATCCTCGAATCAGTTCGCTTGCCTCTGCTTTTATATTCCTTTTTCAAATCAGCGCTGAGAATTCTTAGACTTTTTTAAAAAAAAAAAAAACGAAGTAACGCAGACTCTTGGTATTCATTGCACATTAACTAGAAAGCCCCAGAATGAGAAACAACTTTTAAACATAATTATTGACGGATAAATAATCTTTTTACACGCTTTGGAAAATCTCAGAAGTTCGCGGTAGTCACTTTCCGGTAAGGAACTAATGGACTCGGTTATTGTATCGAGTGGGATTACGAAACGATCGCAAAGGCGGTATACTACGTATACGCGCCAGCATTCCGAAAAGTCTTTGTTTTAAACGTGCGTCGGAAAGGCAGTGACGCTGCGCCGGGAGGGATAGGCAAGGCGAAATAGCGCTCGAGTCTACGGACGCAGTTTAGAATATCAGCTCCCATTACTGGCAGTGGCTATGCGGTAAAGTTCTCGCCTCGTAATAAACATGCGGATCTAGGTTCAATTCTTTACACGAGCTCCTTCTGTTTTATGATCGAGTTTTATTTTCTCACAAATTTCCCGCAACAGTACTTGCTTGACATGAAATCACATTTAATACATTTGAAATTCAAATTAATTTAATTTACAACCATCACCAAACACAAATTCAACATCGATCAATAACCTCTTCAATTTTAACTATAGAAATGCTTGTTTTTTGCAAAATCTTGCTTTCTATTGGCGCGCGATTATCTCGTCAACCGATGTTCTCTCACATTAGCCGCCAGCCCGGTCCCCATCTCACCGACTTGTTTCTCCCAAACAACGCCCCGACCTCCCCCCCCCCCTCCTCGCCG